AAAAGATACTTAATTACACACTCCTTTTACTCTGTCGATGAATTTCTAATGTTTACAAGTAAGTCATAATTTATCTATTGTATATAATGGGTGGGTTTATTTGTAAGTTATCTCTACTTTATGTGAACACTTTGTTTGTATTTGTGACATTTATATAATAGTATGATTTGTATTTGTATAACATGTATTGTATTATTATGACTTATTCTACATCCTATTGTCATCTAACTAATTTATGGATCCATGGAATGTAATAAAGATGTATGTATGTATGATGTGGAGGTATAGTCCCTACTCACTCTCAACCTCGGCACCAAAAGGGGGCTAGTTGTCAGCATCACGCCCCAGCCGCGTTTTACCCTCGAGAAAAGACCCCGGTACCATTGGACAGACCAAGTTGCTCTGGACACAGAGGCTAGAAGAAAATCCAATTTCTGTTGGGGATCAAACCCCGATTGCCCAGCCCTTAGACAGTCAGCTACACGTGTCACTTACTGTAGTGTATTCTGGCAGTTTACACAAGAATAAAACCATCTTCAAGCTCGACTACGTGCCTAGTTCATAGCTCCACACAAGTTGGCATATTAATAAATCATCCCCTCTTCACAACAGTTGTCCTCCATACTATTCGTCCTTTGGAAACAAAGCTATGTCTCAATTTCAAGGTCAATCATTCTCAGTCCAGTGTTCAAAATGTTCAACTCATAACTTATTTTTATTGTTACATGATTCATGTAAAGTGTTTTCTTAATGTAATAATCCAATGCCTGTTAATAAATTACACAACTTCACTGCCTACAGTTTTGGGCCATTTTATTATGTTAAAATTTTAACTGCAAATAAAGTGGTTTAAAAAAACTGAGATGTAAATCTGTAGTAAATTCTTCTTCTTCTATAGCCTCCTCAATTCTCCTCTTCCATTCAGTCCTTTTGTTAGGTCCATTCTGTCTGAGGCTTTGATTGAGGTTACGAAACATCTTCCTTTTTACGGTGCAAGGTTGTTAGCCTTGTGACCAACCCCCAACCGGGAGGACCAGGATACCTGTCTTAGTCTGACCTCTCCCCCTCGACCAATCTGGCTAGGGAGGCCCTACCAGTAGCTATCCAACCGCCAGCATAGCTCTTGGGGTCACTGAGGTACACATTTTAATTTTACTTTATTCCTCCTGCCTTTTCATTGTATGGTTGAGATGAGGGTTTATCGGAGGTATTTAAAGTTATGAAAATGCTACTAATGATGCTGCCAATAAAAGTGGAGGTGCATATGCATTTGAAAATATTCTGCCTCATGTGTCAGTCTATGTTTCATCATCACACTGTAAAGATGATGAATAAAGATGTACACAGTGAGGTGTTATGTAAGTATGGTTTTGTAAAGTACTTACCTTCTATTCTCTGTAGCAAACCAGTCTTTTGAATTGTATTATATGAATTTGTTTTGCCACTGATGATTACCTCTTGAGGTCAAAACGCGTTTGGCATTAGTGTCCTTTCAAGTGGAAACAGTTTTGTTTGTATGCATGATTTTATATGAATCTTCAGGCTCCATAGAAGGAGGGAGAATCTCTTCACCAGACCAAATGTCTGAAGGAGTCTGCTCCTTGGACATCATCTTCACAATTTTTACCTGTAGAAAAGTCCTCTCATTTTGACTCGAGTGAAACTTCAGGCTTAAATACATGAAACAATTGGAAAACTTCAACAGATTTATTTAAAATATAATTATACATCAACAATTTTATATACATGTCATTCAAAAAACAATCTCTTGGTTAAAATTACAAAGGCTTAATGAAATAAACATTATAATAAACACATCCACAATACAACCAAAAAAAAAAGTTTTTTCTTCCAAAGATTCACATAACCATTATACCACTACACAGAGTGAGCAGCAAAGATAAACACTCCAAAATATGCAGTGAAAATGTTTTTTAATACGAAAATTAAAATCACTTTATTTAATTAGCAGATACCTTTATACTTTCTTACAGTATACTCAATGTTAGACTAGAAGCAGTTTAATCCTCTAGAGAAAGACAAAATTCTCTGACATTTGAAGTTGAATACACAATTCATCTATGAGGATTGAAAATTGGTGACTAGTTCAAATACTTTTGTTGAAAAAAGCATAAAATACTAAAATTAATTCCATATGAAGAGATTTTGTGCTAATGTATGATTTGAAGCTTTTGCAGTGATTAAGCTTAATAAAATCCACTTGGGCAATCAACCATCATCAGAACCCTGATGATGGAGGAGATGGTTCCCAAACCATCAGTCTCTTTGTTTAACCAATTGTTGCAGATGATTGCCCAAGAGGATTTTACTGATTTTGTGCTAAGTAGGCCCTTCAAGGACAGTGTGCTACTTTGTTTCAGTGATGTTTTAAATAACCTACTTCATATGGACAGACTGATTCAAATGTTTACATCACTATCATAACATTTCTGAACTCCAGTACTGTTTGTATCCTTTCATCTAAACATACAGCAATTAACCATTTACAGAATTTTAAAATACAGAATATATAGGATCATTGAGAGATGTATATGGATAGACGTCTGTACTTTCAGCACTTGTTCTAATTTCCCAACACTAATAAAGCAGGGAGATTTTATTCATGTAAAATCATATCCAGCTTCATGTATTCAATATCATTTGCAGATGTCAAATTAAACTTTCCATAACTACAGCCAGTGTTTCCCATAGATCCTTCCATCACAGCTGTCATTTCTGCCTTCATTCTTCAACTGCATGCAGATTTTTGATGATACAGTCCTTCAGGAATCCCCACCAGATGTTATCATACAGATTCAAATTAGAAAGGCATGGTTGCAAAACCTGCCCACTTTCGAAACATTCAGGATATCAGAGTTAACCCTATAATGAAATGAACAGAATGTGGTCTTGCCCCACCTTGATGGAAATTCACACCCATGCCTTGAAACAATTCAAACAAAATGGCCTTGAAGGTATTAGAGGTAGTGTTGGGCATTCAGTTCTATAACACCAAATTAATTTTTGTGCAATACATCAATAAATACAGGCATTTAAACTACACTCTCTTTACACTAGTGACCAAATTAGCTCCTTTTAATAAATTGTTCTCATTTATATCCTGCAGCCAGCAAGTAAATAAAAAAGGATGAACATGGCTGCAGGTCTGGAAAAGGTTGAGACCCCCATCTTAATATGTATCCCTTAAACCTTTATTGTCCACATGTCACTACTTATATGTTATGCAGCTGGCCTGTAATGCACTAGCATACCACTATACCATTAACTCCAGAGTTAAGTCCAGCCAGCAGCCTTGTAGCATGGAGGGGTTTAGATCACCTTAAAGAAGGTTAAGCCCACTTACACAATCTGATGAGGAAAGCATGTCTAACAGCCTTTCAATATGGAAGTTTTACAGAATGATATAAACATTAATAACAGCAATTAACAATTATTACAAAACAATTTTATAGAAGTTCAACATATAACATTCATATAAGAACACACTTTTAATATCACATCAAAGGCATAATGCCTGAATGGGTGTGCACTTGACTACCATTGTGACCTCAATACTGTTTAGAATACACAACCATTTTCTTTGATATAATGATTTTGAACATAATAACTGTCCATTTGCTTCTGATTAAAAATTGTCTTTGAATTGGAAGAAGGGAACAAAAGCAAGCATGTGTTGCAGGCAATGAGATAGACAACATGGCAGATGTACTTCTGCTAATTTGTAGCATGCAATATTAGATCAACTTCACATGAGAATCCAAGATCATATTCATGAGAGTGGAATGAAGCCAAAATAGATTAGACTGTAAGATATACTTGTTTCTTCAAAATAAAAATTTGGTTAAATTATTTCTGCAAACACAAAGTTTAGATTATGAATGTCACCATCACTTCTTGGTGCCATGGTAAAATCAAAGTAAAAATCTCAACCCAATATGGAGACATAACTGCAACACATACTAATGTGAGAACTTTGTGTTTCCATATCTGGTTGATATGTGAGTGATTATGACTATGATTATGATTTACCAACTAATTAAAGCTGACAAGGTTATGAGATTACATGGTACTGTGTTCAGAAAATATTTGTTTAGCTAGGATTTTTATTTGGATAAAGTTTAAAAACAGAAATGTTACATCACACACATCCAAAGCAACATTTCAGTGAACTAACACAGCTGTCATTATGTAACTATATTTCTTAGGATAGAAACTATTAACTTGTTCAATAAAGGGGAATTACAGGTAATGCTACTTTAACTTGCAACATGAACTGGCAGTACAAGCAAAATTTTGCATATCTTTATATATATCAGAGAAATACATATCTCCTTTAACTTATGGTATCAATGCAAGATGAAATTACAATTTTCAACATTTTTCTTTGAAATATAATTTCTATGAAAGGAAATACCAATGCCACATATCACACCAATACTTGAAAATGTAATGTCACCTAATCTAGAGATGTCTATGTAATTCTCTGCAGTACTGCAAATTATGTTTACAATCTCTCACTTGTATACATCAGGAGTCATTTTTAATACTGTATATAATTAAATTCAAGTCACTTCAAACCAAAGTGAATCCAGAATACTGAGTCTAAAAGAATAGTATTAGAAGCAACAGGAATAAATATAGGCATTTCAGAATTCTTGTACTGGAGTGGCAGAACTGAGATGAAATGTTCTTGAATAATAATATAACCTCTATCTCAGAATCTTGTGGGAGAAAGCATAGATAAGGCATAAAACATTCCAACAACAATTTCAAACAGCAAACACCAAGACGTGCACAACACAGCCCTTACACAATCTGACACTTTGCTGACAATATCATCCATCTGCCATCTATATCAATCTGAAGTACAACTTTTCTTTACACAGAAAGTAATCTTAAAGATATATCATACAGGTATCTCGATTCAACACATGCAGATAAACTCGGTACTCTTAGAGGTATCTTTTCTTTCATGTACATTTCTGATTTTCTCTGTAATTATCAAAACATATTACAACTACACGAAACAACCTTGTATGATTCAGCAGTTTTCTCTTAAACATAAAGCTGCATTCTACATCACAATCATTATTTTTTCTCCCTATATGACTAAAAGTGTATTACCATTGCAGCATGCAGCAGATTCAGCACCAGCTCAATATAGGAACACAGGAAGAAAGATATAGGAAGTGATACACCGAAGTCAATGCACATTTATTCACCCTGGCCAATATTATCATAAACCTGGTTCACTTGCTGGGTGCAGCGTATGAAGGTGGCACGTCGAGGTAGCTCCTTCAGCTTACCAGCACCTGTGTAGGTGCATGCTGAGCGCAAACCACCCAAGATGTCTAGTACAGTCACTTCCACATCACCTCTATATGGCACCTCCACTGTTTTACCTTCTGATGACCTGCGAATAGAAATGACAAATGGCACCAACTGCCTTACTGCAACTTTTCATGTCACATACCCATGACCAGAAATATGTGATGCAATGCAGGACTTAACAATTGTTCTTCAAGTCATGATAAAATCAGCAGATGCATTTTAAAATACAGCATTATAAAAAATAGTACAGCATTATGCACAACAAAATACAAAACATACTTATTCATTCAAAATAACTCTCACAAACATTAGTTTAACCTCATCTTAAAGAAGGATATTTTAGAATGTCTGTCAGCTGAAGATGGGGTCCAGTAGGAGACTCCTTAATCATTCTTCTTGTTTCACAAAAGGAAGAATATTTATAGACTAGCTGAGGCACTATTAGCATCTAAAAAACTATGCTGCATGGGCTTGGCAGTCAGTTGCTAATTTAAGTTCAAATTCAAGACCATATTTGTTTTTAAATATTCTTATAAAACTCGTATTTAAAACAGAATGCAATGAGCCTTAACTGCTGGTTTCAAGATATGTGTTAAGTGATTCCAAACATACCTGTACTCTGCCACTCTACCAGCATGCTTTTCCATGGCTGTTGCAGAAGACATGCCATAGAACATCTTAAATTTGCGCCCATTGCGCTGGATGACATCCCCCCCACACTGGTCATGTCCAGCAAACATTCCTCCAGCCATCACAAAATCTGCCCCTGCTCCAAACGCCTTTGCAACATCACCAGGGCACGTGCAACCTCCATCCTGTTGGCATATATATTTCATATTATCCATAACAGGTAAAGTGTTGCATAGCATAACAGCGGAGAAAAGTTAAAATATTCCTAAGGGGAATTAAGCACTGCCAGTTCAATCTGTAACCTATCACTTAACTGCTTATGCTGTTATGTTGGCTAACTGTTCCTTTTCTACCAGTAATTGAACACATCTTGCCACACCAAGAGTCACATGATACCCAATATATTTAAAGGTTTTCTCCTATACTACAAGCATTTAGACAATAATAAATTGCTTTTACTCTACTCACAGCAATGATATGTCCTTGTAGTCCATGTGCAGCATCTGCACATTCAAGCACAGCACTCAGTTGTGGAAAGCCAACACCTGTCTTAATGCGGGTAGTACACACAGAACCTGGACCAATCCCAACTTTTACTATATCAGCTCCCGACAGAATCAACTCCTCTACCATTTCACCTGTCACCACATTACCAGCCTGAACACATAATGTTAAAACATATTAAAACTAACAATGAAATAGTATACTATTTAAAGGAGATATATCAATGGTTAAAAACTGGAGTAACCTACACTTAACTGTATGAATAGTTACCAATTACTTAGCCATGAAGCACTTATTGAAAACATACATAAATCTAAGAAATATACTGAATAACCCAATAGAGGAGACAGATAAAATTAAATCTAAACCCAGTAAAGTACAGATAGTTTAAAATGAGGCCAAATGGGACACCAATGCAAGAGTACAATTAAGTGATATCATTTCTGATACTACTTTCAACTTCAGATTTATCAATCTTTCTTAGACTAATTCTTGGGAAAATATCATTTGTAAATCACAAGAACATGCAGTGCATATGTTTTTCCTGTACCACAATATATGTGTGAAGTTGGGTTTTCATGGTAAGGTAAAGATAAAATTGCCCTTGATGCTTAACTAACTTTTTTTTTTTGCTATGAGAGTTCAGCCATAAGATAAAGAAGATTAAAAGAAACAATGTTTAATGACTACAATGGCAAAATAATGTAGCCATCTGGTTTTGATTATACAAAAGCCTTAATAAATGTTTAACATTCTTCACAACTGTATTAACTAAATAGATGGCTTACAGAATCCAAAGGTTCATCACTGAACTCACCAATGCCCTCCACCAGACCCTGTCTTGGGCCAACAAAATCCAGTCTCCTTCAACTCCTATCTTGCATAGATCCCACCTGAGATTATCCTCCCATCTACATCTAGGTCTCCACAGCAGCTCTTCCCCTCAGGCTTCCCAACCAATACCTGGTGCACACCTCTTGCCCCATCCATGCACGCAACATGCCCCGCCCATCTCATTCTTCTTGACTTAATCACCCTGACAATACTGGAGGAGTACAAATTTTTAAGTTAATCATTATGCACTTTTCTCCATACCCCATCCTCTTCTCTCCTAGGCCCAAATATCTGCCTCAACACCCTATTCTCAAACACCTGCAAACTGTTCCTCCCTCAGAGACAGAGAACATGTTTCACACCCATACAAAACAACACGCAGAATTATTGTTTTTTTTGTTTTGTTTTTTATGTTTTAATCTTCAGGTTATTAGAAATCAGAAGGGAAGACAAAATATTTTGAACTGAGAAGTAGTAAGCATTTCTGGAATTTAATCTCCTCCTAACTTCCTCACGAGTATCATTTTGATTTGTTATTGTTGTTCCCAAATATTTGAACTTTGTCACACTTTTAAAGAATTTATTAGCCACCCTAAGATAATTCTGTCTGCTGATGAGATACGCTTCATAAAAAAAGGTAAATTTGTGATACTTATAAATGAAGCAGAGGATGGACAGATACAACAGTCAATTAATAGGGCTCTGAAGACAGACTTTATTCTTTCAGAGGCCCAAAACAAGAGCTTTAAGAAAGTTAAACATTAACCCTCTGAAGGCAAACTCAACTAAATAACAATGTTTAAAGACTCAGTTCTTGCCTCAAAGAAAAAACTACATGCCTCCATCACAAACATCAACTAGTTAACAGTGATTAAGGAAATGATCACTGTTTATTCTGAGAACCACTAAAATCCATAAATACACTGTGTGCAAAATACATACCTCAGAGATATTGCGGGTTTGGTTCCAGACCACCGCAATAAAGCAAGTCACACAAATTTTTTGGTTTCCCAGTGCATATAAAAGTTATGTTTATAATATACTGTAGTCTATTAAGTGTTCAATAACATTATGTCTAAAAAAAAACAATGCGAGAACATTGTGAGAATTACCAAAATGTGACATGGAGACATGTAGTAAGCACATGCTGTCAGAAAAATGGTGCCAATAAACTTGCTTGACACAGGGGTGCCATATACCTTCAATTTGTAAAAAAACGCAATATATGCAAAGCGCAATAAAACGAGGTATGCCTGTACAGAGTTATAAAGTATGTGCATATAGTTACCAATGGTGTTTACAGGGTTAAAATTATTTTTTCCTGATAGGTTAAACTAAGGAAGCATTTGTTAAAATTAACAACACCCTACTTCCAGGCAGCTAGTAACACTTTGACTCACGATGATAGTATGACTGGGGAAGGTGGCACGCACTTTGCGGACGTACTCAACAAATTGCTGGGAGTAACCATTGGCGACATCAAGGCAGATGTAGGTCACACCTGGAATCTCAGCTAGAATCTGTGCTAATCGCTCAAAGTCTACTTGACCTGTACCAGAACTGGCTGCCACATAATGCAGACATTCAGGACTGTTTTCTGCAAAATCCTTCCATTCTGCCAAACTGTAGTATTTGTGCAATGTTGTGAACAACCCATGCTGAAAAGTAACAACACAAAAATCATGCTTAGCATACATAAATGAAGGATCCAAGTAGTCAATAACAAAGTAAAGTGGACACACCTTCAGTACAGTTACAAGACAGCAATAATTTGTAGACTGCTAGCAGCATGCTGCCACCCCCCTCCCATTTCTCTGTTTTTGAGTCATTTCACTTAACCTATTTTTAGTGGAACTTCAGGTACAATATCATTGTAACCCCACTTTATCCTGTCACTAAATATAACTTCCATCAAACTTCAAATGTGGTTATTATTGTTGAGTGGTCTTCTGCTCCGAAATCTTGGTAACCACATTCAAGCCTGCACAGCATCAAAACTCATTACCATAAGAACCTCAAATCCTAAATCGTTCATTTTTTTTAAGTCATTATGCTTTTAGTTACCAGTCGTTTCGGTTCAAATCGTCGATTTTAAACATACAATAACAAATAAAAAGTACATAAAGTATCCAGATTTAATGTACAGGAAACAGGTGCATCTGATCACTTAAACCTCCCTATGTATCAACACAACGCATTCGTACTGTACTTGAACCGGTCACACAAGCTTTACACCTCTCAGTCGACTGGCCTGCTTATCTCGACCAACAAATAGAATATACACACCTTTGCAAGGGCCTTGGCCATTTCAAAAGTTCCAACTGTATCCATGTTAGAGGCTATCACGGGTATGCCTTTGTATGTTTGCTTCGAATTTCGAAAAGTTATCTCTCGATACAAATCAACCTGTAAAGATTGTATAGTAGTGAATTAAATCAGTGGCAAATTTTGTTAATGTGCAAATGCACAATACAATATATAGGTCATATGGTATACGATGTTAAAAAAAAGGACTTACATCTGCTCTACTTCGCAAAGTACTTCGCTTCGGTCGTAACAATACATCTTTAAAGTCTAATTTAATTTCGTTAATAATATTTGGCATTATGTATTACTAAACAGACTTCCACTCCTCAAAATAACAACCACAAACTCCTACCGCCACGCGCCACAAGGATTAGGCCACTGATGATACCACGGAAAAACTACCAACAGGAATGGAGCAAATACCAACATCCAAGAGATTATTACCAACACCAACATCTGTAGGTGATCCAAACAGGAGTCAAAATTCAGTTGAAACCGTTTAATTTGGACTCTTTCTTCTATGGCTATCCATGGCATAGTCTCATCAGAAAAGTATTATATATGATTCAACTCAATGCTGTTAGCTGCAAGCGTATGACATAATCTAATTTCTTTGGCATATATGTGTCCAGCTTTGAACGAGCGAAAAATCGTAAAATACCAAGCTACTTTTCAATACAGTATTCCCTTTCAATGTGTCAAAAATTCATAATTCTAGTACTTATTGAAATTACTATGTTACACACTCTCAATAAAGTCCAAGATTACTACCAAAAGAACATGGTGGCAATACAATTAATTTGAAAACAAATTACAATTTTCTTCTTTTTCCTTACAGAGACCTGTTCCAGGGTTACACACCTTTTTCATAAATTCTACTCCTACAGATATGCAAACTACAATTTTCATCCCAAATATGACATACAACATAAAATATTATGTATGTTACCAGAGTAAACAGGCTCATAGGTAAAATGCTGTATAATATTATAAACTCTGAATTTAACCATAAGTTTTTATTCAGCCAACTAGTAGGCCTGAATCATAATGTAGTCTTACAGACAACAAAACAGACACAATATTTATGATAAAATAAGTACCTGATGTTAGGAAATCACCAATTTTGTCCACACTATGGCCATGAGGATTTCCTGTTTCCCTTGCTTCCTTCCACCCTATTAATTTCAAAAAGTCCATTTTCATGTAATGACCGGAACAGAATTGGCTTATTATTTATCAGTTGTTGACAAATGCATTGGGGCAGGGGTTCTCATCCCTTTTTTGCTGGTTACCACTAATTCTAATTAAACACATTAAATGTACCACTAACCAAATGCGTTCTCATGACAGTGAGGATGATAAGGTTCTTTGAGGCTTTGATGCTGTGAAAAATCATAGGTAGATATCAACATTTTGGAGAAATGTCAGTATTTACCTACAAGACATCAAAATCCAGGGCACCATTGTCATATAAGAAACAAGTTATGACACTAAACTGAAGATGTACAGTCTGTGTGTTCACACACAATAAAGAGGTAATAATGCAAAAATAATCAACACACGGTTACTATAAATGCACCAACAGATTTATCTCTGTTTTAACATATGGTACCAAATTCACCAATGCCAATTCATAGCAACAGAACTTTTTTTACACTGACTTCTTGTTGTAACTTTCAATTTCTACCACATTAATTTCTTTCATATCTATAGAGCCACACACCACTCATTTCAAAGCTAACATTCACTTTAAACAGAAGAAATAGAATTGTACTAATTAACAGGTGTTATTCAACAAAACAACATTCCAGGCAGAACTAATGAGCCTACTTTCCTTTAAATGCTTTCATCAGTTTATGGAGGTCAGCACAAATTAATTATTATTATTATTATTGGTTTGTTTTTGTATTGTAATGTTTGTATTGTTAGTGCTTGGCTGTTATTGGCCTTTTTGGCTGTTGTTAAGCACTTTAATAAATGAACTGAATTATACAAAGTAGTAATTTATTTGTGTAAAATTTTCACTTGAATATATTTCCATTACACATAAATTATCAGACAGAACATAAGTTTTGCACCATAAACAAAATTCAGACCTTTATATTTAAGTAGCACAAAGTCTCATTCATCTCAGTTCATATGGCTGCTATAATGATGTCTAAAATATATGACGGTAAGCATGATATTCACACCAAGTTTCATGGAAGAAAGACTTTTCCATAGTAATTTTTGAGAAAACAGGGAGCATATACCTAAAATGACATGATATCAAAAGCCTGCCTATCCATGCAAAATGAGGAAAGTAAGCTATAAAGAAACCATACATATTTGCCAATGCTATTTGTTGGACAAAATCTCTCTTTCAATGTTCTACAAAGGCTGTTCTGCACAGTATATATACAATAATTCAAAATGACTTTCTGAAGTCATCATATTTAAAGGAGAAGGATAGTTTTGAGTTCATTGGACTATTGCTAACACAAAGGTTAATATTTGTTAAAATTCTGTCACTGATGAATTACACTACAAACAAGTTAAAGAAATATCTTTTTTCTAAGTTTGTGATGTAACAACCAAGTTCAACTACAAACTGTGATGAGCAGCAATGTTGCAAAATATGATAATAAGTGTTGAAAAGTTAGCTTTCTGTAAATATAAACCAATAACTGATAAAGAATTATTAAAAAGGTAATATCTTTGGTTTCATACCTCCTTTTGCATGAGAGCTTGTGTGATAACAATTATAGCACCTAAAATATTCCTTTCATAAATAACAATCAAAATGCCATTGACATGTGTCTGATTGTAAAAGAAGTTGGTGTGATGACATGGACAAAAATATGCTGATGCAGGAAAGAAACTGAAGTTGCCTCTCTATGAATATCTGCTACAGGGAGCACAATATTTATTAAATACAAAATGTTATTCAGTGTGAAACAACTGGTTCAAGAAACTAGAAAACATATTGCAAAATATGATCTAAATATATAAAGTGAAGCTTTTGTGGTGACTGAAGTTGATGAAAGACTCTCAGGTTACGAGCAGAAGATATGGTTCATTCACCATTCAGCCACCTGATGCCGCTCATAACCCAAGAGTCTTTCATCAGTGATCTAAATACATTATGGCAGAGAAATGTTTGCATATCACAATCAGATCAACATAATTATAAAACAAACAGGAGTACTGGTATTATACTTATTCATATTTCTGACATATAATTTAACATTTCAAAGATTCATTTTTTTTATTCTCAAATAAAAGGTCATGATGCGACAATTCCTGTACACATGAACAAGAATGCATGTCAGAGTTCAAACAGAACTATATTTATCGGAGCAGATGACTATGAATTCAGTGTTTGTTGATGACCCTAGTAAAAGCTACAGCATTCATGTCTCAGAACTTGAAATCTTCAATTGTAGTCCCTAACTGGGGTTTTATCTATTTTCTAGGAAAACAGTGTTTAGTACCTTAAAATAGGCCATAAACACCTTCTCTTCCTACATCTCAAATTACTTCAAATAGGCATAATAACTTCTAACAAAATATTCAATGAAAAGTGCTCAACTAATTACTTTGAGTGTACTGAATTTTATAATTCAGAAGAGATAAGAAAAAATAATTTTTGTGGTAGCCCAGTAAAGTGACTATTACAGACTGGCACTAAAGGTTTTACACCCATGACAATTATTCTTTTCTGACCAATTTCAGAATGGCTCTGAGTTCCACTCAATGTGTAACAGCCGGAGTGCTCTCCTTGAGCATAAAGGAAGATTATTAAGGTGACCACTGAACCCCAACATAGTATGAATGGAAAGTGCCATTTATTCACATCCCCCATACACTTTTGTCATGTGATGCTAACCTTTGACATTATATGCTGAACACTGGTGAACTAACATCATCAGTACCCAAATGATCTTTCTCTCTACTCTAGTTCTACGATTTCTTTTCTAGTTTAAAGATTAAAGACATAAAACAAGGAACAGTATTTCTTAAAAATTCAATTACATTTTATGCAATGTTATAATCAATGTTTATAGGTGCATCAAGCTTATAATGCTATGTCAGGAACAATTACAGGTATGTGAGATGACATATTTTTATACTTCACCTGGATCATTCCGTGACAAAGGTACACAAGAAATCTCTTAACTGAATGATTGATATATATTATGTGTTCAATTAGTTTCATATCCTAAGGCATAACTGGCTTAGACTATTTGCCAAGAACTTCAAAACATAACCTTAACATTTACCTTAACACATTGATTATCCAACAAAATCAGCAACACAACTAAAATCTTTTAATAATGTCACATCTGACACAAAATATGTTACACAGTCAAATTCAGTACCTGCAGGATTTGGACCAGATACACTGAACATACATATGTAATGTATTAATAGGGAACATAAGCTTAGTAAATTCATATAAACCAAATTCCACTACATAACACATTTCAACTGATAGATTTTTTGAAAGTGTTTTACACTCTACCATGTTCCTGCTCTTTGCTTAGTATCATTCAAATTTTGTGACCAACAGTAACACATACATGTGCATGCACACTATGCAGAACAAAAGACAGTTCATTTAGTAGTATCTGTGTTGACAATGATGAATATTCTTGAGCAACCAAATAAATATCAACTGCTACAGAAAAATTCTGCACCATAGAAAATGTTAAGTGGCTAGTCAATGTCAGGATACGGTACATTTAAATGGTGCGGAAAAGCACCTTAGCAAGCATAATATATGTACAACAGAGTTACGTGTTTTATTTATATATGTCTACACTTTTAAAATCAAACTGTAACTGAGATTCATTATATGCCATGAATGTGTAAGTACATTAAAGCTGTCCACTCTTCTATTAGCCATTCTGTGGTCCTGTAAAATGTGAAGTGTATGTATGAGGGCTGTTAAAATAAAACCCATCTGCAGTGCTGCTAGCAAATACAATTGGTTGTAGGTAATAACAAGGCTGCGTGCATGACACACAAGTAGTCAAGAATAAGATCTGCAAGAGAATATGTGCATTGCAGCAAACAGGAACAGTGTGACACAGTTAAATAATGACAGTCAAGGTGCAGACAATGTCCAAACAGGACCAATGAGCTGTCATTAAATTCCTTGGTTCAAGGACCCTGACATTACCAAACACACAGTTCAACTGTGAAACCCTCCAAGACCTTCTTACATCACCAGGAGAATGTGTCCCAGTAGCCTCATGAGGGATATCATCATGTGGCCTGTAGGGCTGCAGTGGATCCAGCAGCAGCCTAGGATGTAGAAGGGATCCATCAATTGGTGTGCCAATGGTATGCCAGCCTCAATGCCCATAGGGATTATTTCTAACAGCCTCTATTCCTTCACCCAAAACAGTCTGTTGTGAACGGATTTCACTTGAACAAACCTCAGAATAGTTGAAACTGAAACACTGCACTGCACTGGTATTGTTTTGAATAAATGTTTATATATATATATATATATA